ACAACAACTAGACCATATTGACACAAAATAAACCATGGCCGCTATAAATATAAACAGGTTTATTCTTCAGGCAAAGTGTGGATCTCCTGTTTATAATAGCGGTAAGCTCCATCTAGGATAAAACCGAAGACTACAAATCAAGAAGACTGGCAACTGTTCCCTTCTCCCATACAAATGTCAAACGTCACTGATAATGAAAGGTGGAACTTTGAAGCACAAGTGCTAGTGAAACTGCTCATAAACAGTGACTGTGTGTGTGACCTAATGTCACCGAAACGAATAATCATAACTCGTTGTTGTTTTTGTTTTGCTCTACAAAATTTTACGCCAATTTGTATCCTTATCACAGCAAGCTGGTGGTTTTCCAACTCCAAATCGAAAAACTTGTCATGGTGGATCAAGTAGAGGATTGAAACGCGGATCGATACCTAGTGAAAGTAGCTTTTACTTGTGAACGAGGAACCGTAATATTGTTTATTTTGCCTGTTGGAAGCAATCAATTCCACAACCATTGAGTCAACTACCGTCATTCGGAAGTTGATGAAAATTCAAGGATTCATAAAGAAGAGAGACCCGGTACCTAAATCACGATCCAACGGAAGGCGTAGCAGGATCTAATGTTGGAGAAAATGAAAATGAAAGGTTGAAGGACTAAAATCCCAAACTGTACGTATTGATAAAGAATATATTTCCATTTTAGATGTTGTCAGAACATGAAACCACCTGATAGCGATCCTCTGTATGCTGTAACAATTCTTGGAATCGACCGACTTCCAGAGAATGATAACAACAGTGTCGGATTGGCCAGTGACATTCAAATGGACAGCGAGTACTGTGCCAAGTTGCTGAGTGTCACAACTTAAACCCCCCACTATGGCCAGGTGTCAAAGCCGTGCGGAACGGACATGCATTTTACTACTAATTCACCATACGAATGCCCATAAATGCATCACTAAAGGGCTTAGGAAAAGTGGAAGATAATTCTGAATTAGCAAACTAATGATCGAGGAAGGTCCCACCAACATTGTGAATGGCATCATTGCCATAGTTTTAATTTTCAAAACAAATTTAAGTAGCTAGGTATCTGTTCAAATTCAGCTGGAATTTTACTCGTTGTCAGCATAAAACAAAGAAAGAAACGTTTCACTTATTACGACAATCATAACAAAACCAATAATTGACAGCTATTTATTTCTACCGCTGTGTGTGAATGCACTCGTGAATTAACACACACCATCATACACAGGTTCCACTTTTGCTCAGAAGAGGCGTTCCCGTTACTGTCTCCTGATTTTAGGCAGAATTACCAGTCTTCTTGATTTGTAGTCTTCGATAAAACGCCAATCTCGAATTATCCACGATTTTGCTAAGCACCATGCCGTATTATGATTAATTTCAATCTCAGATACAACTTTAATATGCCGATTTCTTTCAACTTCTCACCGGAAGTTATCTGATCTTCTCCTCGGAAGTCCTATGAACTTCTCATCGGACGTACTAAGAACATCTTCTGAACATGAGAGCCTCTCGTCGGATGTTCTCTAAATTTCTCGTCGGAAGTTCTCTGAACTTCAGAGAACTTAAATGAAGTTCTGTGAGCATTTCAAAACTTCTCTTCGGAAAATCTCTGGACTTCTAGTCGAAAGTTCTCTAAGGTTCTCGTCGGAAGTTCTCTGATCTTCTCATCAGAAGTTCTCTGAACCTCTCGTCGAAAATTCTCTTAACTTCTTGTCGGAAGTTCTCTGAACTTTTCGTCGAATTTCAGGGAACTTTGATGAACCTTGGGGATTTGTTTAAGTTCTCTGAACTTCAGGGAAGTTCTGTAAACTTTTCGTCGGTATGTCTGTGAATATTTGTTCGGAAATTCTGCGTTCCGTGTAGTTTTAGATGGATGTTCTGTGAACATCCCTGTATGTTCAAAGAACTTCGCTTGAAGTTTAGAGAAGTTTCTTTTATGATCAGAGAACTTCCATTGAAGTTATCAGATCATTCATAAACTGCATAGGCACTCCTTCAGAGTATTTCTGCGACCTTCAAGGAAGTATTGTAAACTCTAAAAAAGTTCTACGCACTTCAGAGTTGTTTTCTGATCTTCAGAGAAATTCTACGAACGTTAACAATTTCTGAGAACTTCTCCAAATTTTGCAAACTTCAAGTTTACTATAGTGATCTTCAAAGATCGTGTCCAACGTTGAGGTGACATGTTACTTCATCAGGACAGCGAGTTACCTTACATATCACGCCACGCAGAATATGCCTGAAATTAAAATCTCTGCAGTATGTATAGCCTCTCCGAAGTTTACAGCAGTGGCGTTTCCTTAACCTCAATCTACTTGTGCACCAACTCTAAAAACATAAACAATTATCTAAATATTTGCAATGGATAGATACCGATTCGAGTATGAATATGGCATTACATCAGGTTTTGAGGTAAAAAGTGAGGTTACGGGACGCCACTGGTTTACAGGAAATTGGCAGGAGTACTCGAAAGTTTGTAAAACCACTCTGAAGTAGGGTAGATTTCATCAGAACGCATAGGACTTATCTTAGGGTAGCAGAGCTTAACTGAAGTTCACAGAACTTCTATCTGCACAATTGAAATAGGCGGAACACGCAAACGTAAGAACGTAAATTTCTCGAGAATCCACGCAATCTAACACCAGCATTTGAAAGAACAAACACTCGATTACTTTTTCGAAGGGAAGTATCAGCTTTTGTAAACAATGCATTTGATCGTCGATTTGACGTAACTCACGCATACGAACACCACTATCAGGCAGGAGAAACATTCCCCTATCTGTTGGTAGTGTTGGAATGTGTGGGCGAGTCAAATCGACAATCAAATGCATTGTTTACAAAAGTTGATACGTCCCTTCGAAAAAGTAATCGAGAACTTTCTTTATGGAATCGAACACGTTGTGAACTCTCAAAAAATTAAATAGCTCGTCTTGCTTATCTTTAAGAGATTGAGTATTCCTATTCGAAATCCATTACTGTATTTCAAAGCCATGACTATGCTATTAGCAAAGTTAACTCCAGTTTGAACAGCATCAAACATGGAGTTAGTTTTCAGCATATCAGTAATCATGTCGATTAATGATTTCTATAAAAATTCCATTTTAGGAGCAGTTATGCACCTATTTAAGTCAAAATCATCCATATGTCGGTTAGAAGTTTGATTTCTACCAATGTAGAATTTGTTGCTCGCTGACCGTTGTTAACAGCAAATGAATTAGCACTTTAAGTGAACTAAATAAAACTCATTAGAAATCCCGTTGCGCGAATTGCCAGCCAGGGCGAGACTTTATTTTCATTTTGATTATTTGGACTGGCTCAACTCCAAGTAATTTTGTCACTGGGCAGACCTTTCAAGACAACCTTGAACAGACGGTCGAGTTCAAAAGTTCCTTGGGAAGAGCATGGAAATCGGAAGTGGTTACCACAATAGGGGGGACTTCTTCCTTCTTGACATTAGGCCGGGAAAGTGTATTAGAATGTTGCCTGGAGGATGGATCGTTCTCATTATCAGTGAGCATATACATTTAAATACTCAAATTAATTTCATCAGAAGGGGGATCAAGAGATCAAGTCGATGCCCAAGCAGGATTACCTCGGGTAGGATCCAAACAAGGATCAGAGAAATAAGAGTCAAGCAAGGTAGACTATTTGCAGTAATTTTGGCACTGATAAAAGCTGTTTAAATTTGTTGTAGCTTTAGGTAGCAGTAACACTTCCTTCAGCAAAAAGCAAATAGATCCGCACGGCAAGAGAACACGATGCTGACCGAGCGACTCACCTTAAATTTAAACACTTGACATCTAACCGAAAGCTATCTGTCATCTACTGAACAATGTCTTTTGGTTGTGGAGAATATTTTGCGGCCAAGATTTAAGATTGTATTGCGAGGTAATCGAACTAACCAAATAGACAATCCCCAAGGTTAATTAGGTTATAACTAATGAATCACGCAAAATATTAACACCTTGAAGTTCCATTTCCCTCATTTATGTAAAACCGAACAGCCATTGATCATATTTTGACACAAAACCTAATGAGTCACAACTCACAGTTCCTTCGCATGAGAATTGCCAAAATATCTCACAGCAAGGTTCATTAACTATTCGCTAACACACTACCAGCCGCCACCACCCCTCGCTTCCGTTCGCACCGACATTTGCCAATCCACTACCCATCTACCTAGGTACCCAAACAACAAATAATGGAATCGGCAAAAACGAAGAAGCACGTGCTTTTTCGCCATTAGAAGTGCCGGCATGCCGGTTTGTACATATTATTATATTGCCATTATTGTTGCTGGTAGGTAGAGGTACATAAACTCCGATTGGCAATCAACTTCCAGCGTAGAGACCTCGCGATCGCCGTGCAGGAGAGCAGAAGATGAGAGCGAGAGTGCTGGAGGGGGCGGCCGAGTAGGCAAAAATAGCTAAAAACTCGGGAAGAAGCGACCGACTGCGCCGCCGACTACAGAGCAGAACCGAACCGGCTCGTCGTCGTTGGCCTTGAACTTCATTTCGAGCTCGAAGAGCTGACTGAGAATATGTGTAATAGAGCCGCGAAGGGGACTAGGAATAAATAGAACAAAAGACATTATTTGTTTGTTGGTGAGGATCGAGGGTGAGGGCCCGAGGTCTGCGAACAAGTGTCTCTGGCGAACGGTGCAAGGGGTTCCGGTTGGCTGAATGAAAATTTACTTTTATATAAAACCATCGAATGCAATGCGTAAGAGGGACATCTGCTCTCTTTCTGTTGCAGCTGTCGATGAAGTTGCATATGCAGCAGCAGCAGCAGCCCTTTTAATTGCGGAGCAAGCATGTGCTCGCGAGTTGTATAATTGATCGGAAACTGCGGGAAAGTGACTTGTATACAAAATATGAAAACATATGACGGAAGCTGACTTTCTGGGGTCTTTAAACAACCCGGTTAAGTGGGGCTTATCACGTCTTGCTGGATGGCAAAAAAGGACACCTTCGGATACTTACATTGTATTTGTTGAGTAACACGTCGTGGAATCCATTGCTCATTTCCTCTAGTTCGAACATTTTTCTCAGCACTCCAGACCGGAACCGATCATACACTTTTTAACTAAATTCTTCCTCTGGGATAATATTCTCGTAAGAATATTCTTTTTTATGTTTCCGCCTGTAGGATTATTTTTTCACTTTTTGCCTCTTTTTCGCTCATTAGCTCTGCAAACAGCAACAATATTATTCCTTTTAGTTTTTCTCTTTTTCACTCTTACGTAGAACCACACCACCGAGGACAAAAACAGAGAACAAAAAACCAATTCACGTTTCCCGGAAAAGGGAGAAAAGAAATACCACAATCGTGTATGAGAATGGGAAGTCGCTGCTACTGCGGTTGCCTAGTTACAATCGGCTTGCTTGATGTGATGATGCTGACAGGAGCAAGAATCGTTGTAGCAAAACATAGGAGACACACTCTCAATACTATCGTTCACTTTCAGATTATCCTTCCGCGATGTTTAAATGACCAAAAACTGGATACTCCGCCGTGTAGGCTGTGGGGTCCCGAAACAGTACAGAAGGTTTGGCTGAAACTACTACACCACCAGTCAATCTAGCAGGGACACATTCGGTACCTACTCTTTCGCGCGCGCACTACACACTTCATACGATCCACTCTCGTACTGAACTAAACTCCAGGAACGCAGTGAAAACCATTTCAACGTCCTCCTCAGAACATGAGGCCAAACACCCTATCCACCGCACACATTTACCTACTGGACCGGCGCCTTTGTTGTGTGTGTTTACCAACACTCAAGCAAAATTCAAAATAATTTCCGCTGACTGTTTCCCGCCCTGAAACCACTCACTGCCACTCCCTATGTATTGGTGAGTGACTTGAACGTCCGCACGTCACTCCCTACTGTTGTACAATAATTTTCCTGTTTTCACTGGATTTCACATGTCACTGCGCATTAATTTCACCAAAGCTGCTCGAAATTGTGTCCACTTCAGAATGACCGCTGGAAATTTCACCAACCAACTTGCAACCAGTCACATTCTACGATTACCGCCAAAAATGACTTTTGATGAGCACTCGAAAAAAAATTGAGTGAGATCCACACTTTCCTGCTGTCAAAGATCTTTGACGTAAAATTTTACCGCTGGCTGGCGGGAGACAATGAAAGCAGAATTTCAAAATGGCGGCGCCACTGTACCTACTAGTGCTCTCGCGCAACTGAGCACCGACAAACCGGCAATCGAGAAGTTTTCAGCGGAATTCACACCACACCGGAACGAAATCGATACTAACCGAAAGCGGGACACTTGGTGCTTGGTTGGATACCACTGGGAAATCCGGAAATCGTTGGCAACTGCACTAAACGGTGACACGAAACAATTTGCGGGGGAAAATATATCTACTGAACTGAACGTGTTCCGGAGCGCTGCGAATGCAAAACCCTTCTGTTTGTGATGGACGATTGAGTTCTGGAGAAGGTCTCCCGACAAAAGCCACACAAACACAACCGGTTTTTGTTTGTATACAAACCGGGGTTCGCTGTGTCGTTACACACGGCGAGTGTTATTTTTTTTTTTCAACATCGGTTTTTGTGTGCGTGAGTTGCCGGTATCGCTAGCTTGCTGGTGGGATGTGTGAAAACCAAAATGTGACTACAGGGTGTATCAGAAAGAATCGGCATTTGATGAAACTCAGTCGGGAAAACATTTTTTTTCAAGATAGTCAACTTCAAATCCACTTTAACCACCCACATAAATATCAACCATACGATGTCCACAAATCTGTGCTGTTATCCGCTAGCGAAATTTGGTGCGTATCAGTGAAGAACATTGAAAAGCTGCAGATGTTAATTAACCGATGGCTACGGTAAATAATTCGTGCTTGGCTGCGTTCACACATTACATTACCCGTGAAAGTTTCTTGAATAAAGAAAGATAAGATAACCCTAATAAACGAATACCTTACATGAACGATACCACAAATCGTGCCACCGTACCACATCTTGTTGGGATGATAACCCGAATAGGTTGTTAGGCACTCCTTATGGTTATCGTTTATGCTGCAAGACATTACATTAAACGCTGTACAGAATGGAGAGTTAAAACATGTTATAACGGTTGTCAAATAATTGCAACACAGAAACCACCATCAAGATAGCGCTATAACATGTTATAACTCTGTAGTCTGAACGTACCATTACGCAATAGGCGGTGAAGGAGTCCTGGATCACACTCAAAAAATTCCACACGCCATCATCATGTGTCTCACACTTAATTTTGCACTTATTGTGAAACACATCCATTTCATGTGTGAATCTTATGTTATGAATCATGCCTGAACACTATGGATTTGAATTGTGACTTGCGACACACTTGGATTCTACACACTTAATTTTTTTCGCCGAGATTCCAACAGCCGAGCAGTTCTGCAATTTATTTTGCTGAGATTCAGTAAAACAATTACCGAGATTCAGCTAACAAATCAGGCATAACATTTGATAACGGCACAAAACCATTTGTAAACAAAATTTCTAAGGCCCTTTACACGCAAACCAAAGTACGCCCACGCAAACCAATACCACTTTCGGAAAGGTGATAGTTGCCCCTATCCGATGATGTTGTTGGTTTGCGTGAGCGTACTTTAGTTCGCGTGTAAAGGGCTTTAGAATGTTTGTTTACAAATTTTTTTGTGCCGTTATCAAATGTTATGCCTGAAATAACATTTTGCTGATATCAGGCATAACATTTGATATAACCATCTGTTTTGAACAGTAGTGTGATTCAATCTCGGATTCAATGTGCAATACGCTTGAATAGATAGTGAAAGATTTTCAACATTTCAAAGTTTGAAACCTGCTTTGAAACACTATAAATTAACGTGTATAACACATTGAACCAAGGTGAAATACACTTAAAGCAAATGTGATTGTGCATTTAAAAAATCAAGTTTTTAAACACATCGATCAAACGTGTGGAATTTTTTGAGTGCACGTTACACACCACACTGAACCAATTCAACATATTCCTGTTATGTGGAAATCTAATAAATTTGCGCTATAAGATAATCCATTGAAAATGATATGATTGAAAATGTGTCAGGTAAATTCTATATGAATATCTGATACATTTACAATGCTGATAATTTGGTAACTTTTATGTGATCGTCATATGATAAATGAAAATCAGTCAAATTATAATAATTAACCGAAATGGATTTGAAACCCATAAGCATAAGCTTTACGTTTCACCACAATATAATATATGTGTCATAAATCAATCGAAGTAAAGTTTATGTGAAAATCACATGAAATTTACTTCTTCTTTTGACACATATATTTAATCGATTTCTAAAAATAAATCGAAAAATAAACATCAGGCAGTGGGAGCTTTCACAGTTGTGTCTTTTTTTTTATTGTAGCTGATTTGGGATTCGATCAAGAACTGTTGAGGTGTGATGCTTTCGGTGTCTGTGCTCGATTCCACTGGGCCACGGCTGACTTCAAGATTGAGCTCGTTCAAATAGCATGAAGTAAGAACAGCTCTCCCGACATGGAATGTAGTGCAACTTTATGCTCGTTTTGCTAGAGTAAAGACAAATAGCACTGACAAGTTTATGTTCCGTTTCGGTGGTGTCGTTTGTTCAAATCTTTCTTAATGCGCCTGTGTGCAATAAAACAACGACTAAATTATATGAGTTGTTGGAACTGGTTCATGAAGTTCGAGTACTAGGGCTGGAATCTGAATTAGCTGTGTAGAAGGCTTACAATTAGAATCACAGCAAAGTAAATATTGCAGTAGAATCATTTTTTTTTTCAATCTCAATACATTCTTTTCCGGAACCCCTTATCTTATGAAACAATAACAAACAAAGATTATTCAATACAGTATCATTGTTGTTACCAATATTTACAATATCAACAATATCAACTAATCATTTTAATGAGTGTACGATAACATCGTTGAAAATTGTTTCAATAATTTATGAAGAGCAATCATGTAAGATGTATTTCATTTTGAGCGATATTCATCCCAGAAAAACATGCCAAAACAAATGTTTTCTGTTGGATTTCTTAAAAGGCAAATCTATATGACTATATAATGATTGGGATAAATCTGTTTACAATCTTTAAACCTCAAAAATCAAAGGAAGCTATTCCAATGAGATATGAGATATACATGTTTTCCTACACAGAAAAAAAAGTTGTTGAATATTACATCCAAACTGCTGCAACCAGGTCAATCCATCGGTTGTGTAATATAACGTTGTACGATGTACATCGATTTTGCGAACAAAATTACATCCATTGATGTAATATTGTATCTGATTTTTGCTATTACATCATTATTTCATACATCAGCTTGAATTACATTGATCGATATTACATTTTTTTTTGCTGTGTATACTGCAAAGTAAAATGACAGTCTAATAGTTTCTACATGTCTGTTTACACGCGACATATCAACAAACGTCAATTTCTAATAATGCAAACTTATATGATTTTCCATTACTTTCTAGATGTCTGTTCCCACATATATCAACATGACGTATCAACAATTTTTCACCATGAAATATATCAGACAATATTCATTTACTTTTTACCTATCGCTAACCACGTTCGAAGCAAAGTATTATCAAGTACAAAGTATGTGAAATTACGATAGAAATCATTCCATATCGCAGTCATAGTTTTAAAGTGATAATACAATGGAATCTATCAATCATCACATAGAATGAATAAATCTGCTGACATTGCTATGTTATAAGATGGATCCAGTAAACGGTACATGACGATTTGTTTCAGTGCATGTATTAGGTACACGGTAAGAATAAAGTACTCAATTAGTTGTTTTCATTTATCCCAGCACTATATAGTGCAGGAAGCCCAAAGTAGGTAAAGCGGGTCAAAGTAGTTTTCATTTACTTGTGTGCAATTCGTATGGAATTTTCCACTCTTTTTCTACCCAAAAGTAAGTTAGTTGTACCGAAAAGTAGGTGAATATGATTATACTCGACGTTGGGTTCCCACACTTTACTACCCCTGTTGGGTGGTTTTGCTCTCCCGTTTTTAACATTAGAAAGAGAAAAAGAGAAAACAGAAGTCAAAAGTAGGTAAAAGCAAACTGACTGGGAACTTTTGACATAGGACTACGTCTTTGTGGACTATACTTGGTTGCAAATCAAGACAATTGTGTGACGAAATAGTGTCAGGTTGTGAACGCTTAGAGCATGGTCATTCAAATTTAATGTAAGATTTGTATGGTATAAAGATGACATACACCGCACGAGATTGAATGTGGAGCGATACAGACAAGCGAGAAAAACACAAAACTCGGTTTTCCGAAGGAAGAAGTGTCAGCAGGAAGACCGAGATCGCGAGACGATGGAAAATCTGTACCGCGTAAACGACACACGGAAGTTCTATGAGAAGCTAAATAGTTCGCGCAAAGGCTACGTGCCGCAAGCCGATATGTGCAAGGACTTGGACCTTCTCACGAACGAGTGTGAGGTGATTGAGAGGTGGAAGCAGTACTATCATAGAGGTGACTCTAAGACCAGAAGGTATCGAAGATACGTGCTCAACTTTTTGGAGCACGCGCAGAAGACGATAGGCTACCGGCCCCTGATCTTCAAGAAGTTGAGGAGGAGATCGGTCAGCTGAAGAACAACAAAGCAACTGGTGTAGATCAACTACCAAGTGAGCTATTAAAATACGGTGGTGAAGCACTGGCTAGAGCGCTGCACTGGAAAATTTCCGGAGGAGTGGATGGAAGGTGTCGTATGCCCAATCTACAAAAAGGGTGACAAGTTGAATTGCTGCAACTACCGCGCGATCACACTGCTGAGCGCCGCCTACAAGGTACTCTCCCAAATTCTATACCGCCGTCTGTCACCATTTGCAAGAGAGTTCGTTGGGCAATACCAGGCGGGATTCATGGGTACCCGCGCTACCACGGACCAAATTTTCGCGATTCGGCAGGTTCTGCAGAAATGCCGCGAATACAACGTGCCCACACATTATTTGTTCATCGATTTCAAATACGCATACGACACAATCGATCAAGATCAGCTATGGCAGATTATGCACGAGTACGGATTTCCGGACAAACTGACGCGATTGGTCAAGGCGACGATGGATCGAGTGATGTGCGTTGTTCGAGCATCGGGGACACTCTCGAGTCCCTTTAAATCTCGAAGAGGGTTACGGCAAGGTGATGGACTTTCATGTCTGCTGTTCAACATCGCGTTAGAAGGTGTGATCAAAAGAGCTGGGATAGACACGAGTGGCACTATATTCAGGAAGTCCATCCAGCTCCTTGGCTTCGCCGATGACATTGGCGGAAACGTACATCAGACTGAAGGCTGAAGCTAGACGGATTGGACTTGCCATCAACGCATCAAAGACAAAATACATGAAAGGAAGAGGTTCTAGGGACG